AGAGGAAACCCCAATTGAGGACTTGCCTATATTGGATTGGCCCGTGGGCATGTCTGTGGGGCCATTTTCTTATTTAATGAGTGATTGTGGGGAGGCTCAGCCCACTGTGGGCAGCACTGCCACCCATGCACAGGAGTGTCTGGATTATATAAGACAGCAAGCTGAGCAAGCCATAGACTTTGTTCTTCCTGGCTCCTGGGTCCATTCTTGCGGGAGTTCCTGCCCTGATTTCCCCCAATCATGGACAGTGATTGGAACAGGTACGCCAAATAAACCCCGTCCTCCACCATGACTTTTGACCATGGTGTTTAACACGGCAGCAGGGGGAAAAAAGTAGGACAGAAGGGAATCAGCTAAAAGTGGAAAGGGAGCACAGCAGGGGAAAGAAAGATGGAGAACAAAGTCTAAGTGCACATACGTATGAAGAGGCCACGACAAACCTGTTTTTTAATGCCAACTTAAAATTAATAAGTTTTTTGTGGGGGGGGTTGAGACACAGTTTCTCTGTGTATCCTTGGCTGTCCTGGAACTTTCTCTGTAGACCAGGCTGGCCTTGAACTCAAACGGCCACCTGCTTCTGGCTCCCAAGTGCTGGGGTCAGAGGTTTGGACCACTACCTTTCAGCAATAAAATAATTTCTAATAAGATGATGAATATTAATAAAATCAGTACAATCTTTCCTAACTAACATCATATCTAAAAAGGGCAAGCTTTTTGATGAAGTCAATAGAATCAGAGGCTCTGGAATTGAGCCCAATGGAGAGAGTGATTTCTCATGCACCCTAGTAGTACAGGGTAATATTCCAAATGAAGTGTACTTTTCCTTTTGTTCCAAAGAAGTCTAAATATGAGCAGGAACTACAAATGCAAGCCTGCTTTGCTGGTGTGGTTACTTTTTGATCTAGAAGGGACTCCTCAAGACCTTTCAGGTCCCCTCAGCACTAAGAAAGATCCTTCTAGCATGACAGACCACCTTCATGACTTGGGTACTGGTCAATACTTTCAGGGGAAGACATCAGACTGCAGAACACAGAACATTTGTGACCTCACCCACGGTTGCCACCAGGAAGGGAGATGGGTCTTTGGGGTGAGGTCTAGGGGCTTTGGAGATGGAATCACACCTTCCTGGTCTCTCAGGTACATGAGGCCTCTTGAACTTGTCCAGGCATAGGCTGAGCATCCATATCTGGCAAAATTCTCAGCAGCATGTTGGAGTCACTACCTGAGTCTTGGACCCAGAATACAGCTTTGGCTTGCCCTCCATGTTGGGCACAGGGTATGGTAGGATGGGAGAAGGCTATAGTAGGGAATAAGTCCAAACCATTAATAACCCCTTTCTTTCTAAACTACTGTTAAGAGTAAATTGACTATAATTTCCAGAGGGTTTTTGGCTATCAGTACTACACAATTAGGAAACAGAAAACCCAAGCAACAGAAACATAACGAAACCACAGGCTAAACCACCACTCTCATAATAATTTACCCTCTCCATCCCCCCAAAAGCAGTATGCAGTCAGAAGAGATTCCTGTATGCAAAGGCCCCATAGGCAGTCCACGTTCTCCAAAGGAGAAAATGACCTCCTGACCCCCTCTCTTCAACAAGTGACCTCTCATGTGTCTTCCTACAACTCTTCACCAGAAGTGACAAACTATGAGAACATGACAAATTCAGCTTTGCCTTGTTTACATGTGGCCTGTGAGGAATGGACTTTTTTTTAAAAAAAATATACATTTTTACATGTTTTTCAAATGAAAATAAAGAATAGGAAGCAACACCAAAAATATACACAACATTGTATCTTGTAGAAAAAGCTTGCCAATTAGCTATTTACCTGGCTGCCAAGTCTTAGTGATTTTCAACTTTTCCAAAGCTGTGACTCTTTAACATAGTTTCTCGTGTTGTGATTACCCCTTCCCCACCATAACAATTTCATTGCTACTCCATAGCTGTAATTTTGCTACTGTTATGAATAGTAACGTAAATATCTGCTATGCAAGATGTCTGATTATATGACCCCAAAGAGGTTGCGACCCACAGATTGAGAACCACTATTTTAGAGCTTTACTCAGACAACCAACATTTGAGATCATTGCTGAGAAAAATGTCTGTATCCTGTCAAATCTCTGTCAAACCTAAGGTCCATCCTGAGGGAAGCATATCGGTGTTTGTAGAATGACTTGGACTCAAGCATGGATCTTGCCGGTTCCCTGAGGACAACATCAGTTATGCATTGAGCATCCCTTGCTCTCCTGCTCCAAGGATCGTGATAGAGAAAAGGAAGAATGGAGTTTGGTCAAGACTTTCCTGTCTTACACTACTGTGGGGGTTTGAATGAAAATGGCTCCCATAGGCCCACAGGAAGTGACACTATTAGGAGGTGTGGTCTCGTTGGAGGAAGTATGTCACAGGGGGTGGGCTTTGAGGTCTCAGAAGCCCAATCAGGCCCAGTGTGGCACTCTCTCTCTTCCTGCTGCCTGCCAATTCAGATGTAGAACTCTCAGCTCCTTCTCCAGCACCATGTCTACCTGTATGTCACCATGCTTCCCACCTTGATGACAGTGGACTAAACCTCTGAACTGTAAGCTAGCCCCAGTTAAATACTTTCTTTTATAAGAACTTCGGTGATCATGGTGTCACTTTATAGTAATATAAACCATAACTAAGACAACTATGATAAAAAATTTTAGGGTGGGGGATATGAAAGCTAACACTCCCACTCCTCTCTTGGAACTCCCACTCCTCTCTTGGAACTCCCACTCCTCTCTTGGAACCTTGGTAAGCACAGGCCTCATTGGTTGTTTCTGTCCTTAAGTTACATCCTGATGCCCCACAAAGCTATTACAGACATCCACATTTCCTTGTACCTTTTATGTGGTCCTAGCACAAACAGCGTCCTTGGGAAAGATGCTTATTCCCACCCTGGGAACAGAGTGGCTCCACCATGAAACCCCGTTATTCATGTTGCCAGTTTCCTCTCAGTTCTGTGCAACTGACTTGTTCAATGTCTTCTTAGTGGACCCTGAGAGGTGAGGGGATGTTTCCACAATCCTCATCTCTTTCCCTATAGGCCAACGGTTCTCAACACATGGGTCACAACCCCTTGGAGGGGGTCACATATCAGATATCCCTCATATCAGATATTTACACTATGAGTCATAACAGTAGCAAAACTATAGTTATGAAGTAGCAATGAAATAGTTTTATGGTTGTGGGGGAGTCACCATGAGGAGCTGTATTAAAGGGCCACAGCATTGGGAAGACTGAGAACTACTTCTCTAGACTGATCTCTGCTGTTCTTTGCAGCTTGAATAGTGATGACAAAGTCCAATAATGTCCGAGAGTAATGTTGACTCTGTGATTCATAGTCCTTCTTACAGGACTCTGTATTAGAAGTCTTTAATAAATATGAACATGTGGGCTAATTTAAAATACTCAAGCTGCCACTCTGGCCCCTACTTCCTTTACTCTCAGTTAAACTTCAGTAGGGCCGTTGACCAGGTACAGGAAGTCCTGAGAGGTCAGTTCCTGAGATTAGGATAGAACTCATAGCTGTGTCGTGGCGCATACCTTTAATCGCGGCAGTTGGGAGGCAGAGGCAGAGGATCGCTAAATTTCCAGACCAGCCGAGTCTACATAGTGAATCACAGAACACCCAGGACCACATAATGAGACTGTCTAAAAACAAAACAAAACAGAGAACAACAGGGCTCAGACTGTGGCTTGCATGGCCTTTTGGATCCACCAGAATACTCTCAGAGCACGGGTGCGAACACAGCACACACTGCAGTGCTTGAGAACTACTGTGTCCACCTTTGCATGAAGCTGCTGATCAGTCAGTGGCCGGATGAATGATTCAGGGTTAGGCACCGGGGAAACGTTTCTTTCACTTCCTGTTTTTACCCCAATCATCTTAGAGGTAAGGTGACAGATTCGCCATTAGTGATTATAAAACTCTCCTGAGTTTCATATTAGTGAAAAGCAGTGTCACCTGTCTTTGCATTTCTGCAATGATAACTGTGGGCAGTGTTGGAACTGTTTGAGAGAGGTAGCTAGTGTGTCAGTTTCAGACTGCCGTCACAAATGTCGGAGACAGCAACTGGGAAAGCAGGGAGGATCTCTTTGGGTTCATGGCCAGTTTACTCCACTGCCGTGGTCCTTCGGTGAGTCCGAACACCACGGCAGAAAAAGGGTGGTCCCGAGGAGCTCACTTCATGGCAGACAGGAAAGTGGAGGGAGACGGGAAGGTGTGCCCAAAGGCACCCTCACCCAGATTTACTTCCTCCAACCAAACTCCACCTCTTAACTTCCTACCCTTCCCAAATAGCACCGCCTGCTGTGGACACTTCCAGTTCAAGCCATAGCAGCCATAGAAGGAGCTCATGTCTGCATCTGCATAGTAGCTGCACAATTTCTGTCCATGCTACCATTCCATGTGCTTTCCCGGGGAGGCTGAGGAATGCGGGCACTTTGCCCCTCCCCTTTTCCCCTCCATCCTTCCTATTGAACATCCTGAATGTCCTGAACGTCCTGGCATGTCTACAACCCAATGGGAGAGGGAGGCCACAGCAGCCGATGGCTTATTGTCCTGGATACTGAGTCTGTGTGACTGAGCAGTTCAATGTCATGACAGCCACAGGTAGTTTACCCACAACTGTCTGAATCTACACGTTTGTCTGCTCTACCCTTCAAGAGCTGTGGGAGGGAAGGAAGAACCATGACCTTGGGTAACTAAGATGCTAAGAGGGCAATAGTCACCCCTGTTCCTCTTCCCTGCTCTCGTCTATGGGTGATGAAGGCTACCCCCGGCCTTCACTGCCAAACAGCATGAAGCAATGGGCCCATCTCCTCCTCCAAGCCTTTCTGCTTTCCCACACCCACTGAATACACTGTAAACCTAAAGAAAAAAGCAACTTGTGTACAGAAAACAACAAAAGGAAACCTACTTACTTAAAATATGGCTCCCTTTCCTCAGATGGTAAAAATAGAAGGACAGTTTCAGTTTTTCTTTCAGTATTTATTACATATTTGCTTGAGACAGATACAAACAAACCATTCTCTTCCACCACACACACAAAAACAGCCATTCTTGTGATTTTTTTAAAGTGCATTTCCCCTCTACCACTGTGTACAAAAATATTTCTTAAAAACATGCAGAAGTTTTTGGACAAGGCACTTTTAGGCATAAAATGATGACAAGTCGTCAGTTGAATATTCACATTAAAGCAAAAGTGTAACATTATCACATGTATAGACTAGAAGTCCTCATGCCCCAGGGGTCTCTGGGAATGAGCAGCAAAACCATGGAAACTCACTGCTTTGCAGGTTGAGCTGGGCAGACCTCACAGCCTTCAGCAGGAGAAACTACTCCTTTATTTCCTGTCCTCCACTTCAGGAATGCTGCCAGATTGCCTCTGGAAGATTTCATTATAGGTAAGATCCCAGGATTTCCGGAACATCTTATCTCCAGTTTCTGAGATCATGCCAGGAGATGCAGGTAAGCAAAGACTTTCCCAGAATGAAGAGCCATTCAACATTCATTTCAGGGATAAAATAACTCCAATCATTGACTCAAGTTGCCATAGTTTCTGGAGAACTACAGTCTTCCATTATTTATTAGCTTTCCTATAAAAAATTTTTACAATACTCAAATGCTTCTTGTGAGAAACATGGGAAACTTTTATCATACAACTATCTATAGCCCAGCGTATTTATTTATTGTAGCCATTTTGCAAAAGCACCCCAGGGAGTTTGGAGAAATAAATATGAAATAAAAAGGGAGTTGCCTTCCCTTCCTGGATTATAGTGTCTGGAAAGGATGCTGGGATTAGTGTCCATTCATCACCATAACCAAACATAGCATGACGGCAGATCTCCGGGTCAAGCTTGCAGTGGGATCTCCAAGCAAGAAGCCTGTTACCCTCTGAGGTGTGTATGTTTGTCTACAATGGTGAACTATGAACGAAGTGTAGAGTCTCTCAAAGCAGCTCCTGAGGCTATCTCAGAGTCATGGGAGGCAGAAGACAGAAGAAAGACTCTTTAGCATCTCAGTGAGGGACAGCCTCCATGAGGGAAGCCAAGCACACAGGCTGGTCAGTGGGAAGGGTCTTGGCAAGCAGGTCCTCTGGGCTGAGTGTTGGGGTGTGTATCCCAGTGTACCCCCAATGAGAAAGCTGGGGCAAATCTGGGTAAAAGAGGCGGGGGTTTGTGGCTGCCTCAGGAGGGATACATAACATGGAATCACCATATTTCATATTTTGACACGGAATGTCAGAAGTTCATCATTCCACACCACTGATCAGACTTCGTTTTGAATTTACTCGGGACCCTTTTCTTTTGAAAACCATCTTTGGTCTGCTACTCTGAGTAACAGTGCATCTGGATACATTATCCCATCCGGGAAAGAATACTTCTCAGCACCGGACAAACTGTATGATCCATAAGAGATCAGTTTTGCTTGCGTCCAATTAAATCTAGCAGCTCCGATCACCATAACTGGAACATTTAGAGTACGCCCATCTAGCAGATATATGGTATGCTTAGATAACACACAACCCCGCCCAACTTCAGCCTGACTTACAAATGTGATTTCCCCATAGACAGCAGCGTGCAACCCCAGAGTGCTACCCATCTGGTGGGGGGGGGGGCACAAAATATAAAGCACAGATTACAGACCAGTATCGGCTTTAGGAATAAGAAAAATTCGACAAAATAGCACTTAAAAAGTCAAAACATTTTATAAACTTCAAAAGTGAAAAAAAATAAGATAAAAAAGAAACCGCACATGCTAAAATCAAAAGCATGTGATACCTACCTGCTGCTAACTTTTGAAGCCAGAGAAGCACAGGGTCATGTCCAGCGCTCCCCCGGCCCCCAGAATCCACGAAACTGTGCACCTCTTTCCCTGTTGCCTCGGGGAAACCTCGCTTCAGTAAGAAAACTAGACATTTTACCAATCTCAAAAAACCAAAACAACACCCCTAGAGTTCTACAAATATGCATGTAAAAATAGTTTTCAAACTTCCCTATAATTTTAATTTGCCCAAGAGAAAATCACAGGTTGTGGGGGTCCATCCAACAGTAACAGTTCCAGGAGTCTAAATTACCACTCGATAATGCACTGCAGTCCAATGTGGTTAAGAAAAGAATTCATCTCCGAGTCCTCAGAGTTGACAAACATTTAAAATAACATAGAAAAACTCAGTGAGGTCCCCCCTTACAATACACACCATAAATAAAAGTTCCCAATCAATGTCTTCGGGTGCTTGTAAAACATCCAGAATATGACCGTAGACTGCAGAGAAGGCTAAGCATTTTCTGGAGGCTTCAAGGACACGCCAGCCATGCCGTTTAGAAGTCTCAGATGGGGCACTGACGTGGACACCCCAGGAGAGGAGAGCTGTTAGTCTCTTATAACCAAAGCAGCTCACACACCAGTCAGGCAAGTGAAGACAGATCTAGTCATCGAGTCTTCTGGTAACTCGGGGTGGGGGTGGGGTGAAACTGAGTGCTTAGAAAGCACCCCCCCCCAGAAGCCAAGGGGAAAAGCTAAAACTTAGTACTGTCCCACCTTGTCACAATGCTGTGCCCCATGACTCCACACAGAGATCAATGACTTTCTGGTGTGTTGCTCTCTGTTGGAATATGGAGGAGGGGGAGGGGAAAGTCTATGCCAGCCACAAACTACTCATTTGCTTCATCTCGTCTGGATCACTGGATGGGCTGTGTGGGAGACTAAATGTAGAGCATGAGCTTGTGTGGAGAGGGGCTGCCTCCGTCCCTCTTCTGAAGCTGCAGGGTAGCAGGCCAGTGTGTCACGCAGCTGAGATAAAGGTGGCTCCAAGGACGTGTGGTAACACGTGGAAAACGTGGGCGGAGCAGGACATAGAGGTCCGTGGTAAGGCTGGAGAAGGCTGAAGACGGGTGGTTTCTGGGAGACTGACTCCACATCCAAGGGTGGAGGAGAGGCCAGCTTCCTTCATTCTTGCCAGCTTGGCTCCACTCCAGACCATCCTGGCACTATCCTGTGCATTCCTCTGTAGCCAACCCGGATGCCACAGAGGACCAACACACCTGCTCTCCTCCGAGCAAGTAACCAGCTGCGACGGAGACGCGCTGGGCTTGCTGGTTTTACGGAAAAGGTGAGCAGGATCTTAGCTTTTCAAAAACCATGCCAAACGGCAGTTCAACTTCACTCTTGTCTTGCATTCTCTGCTCCATCTTGACCAGAGTCAGACTGCCGACTGCAGTCATCAGTAGTAGGGTCCCAGCTTTTCGTATCCCAGGTAACTAGGCCACTCTGGAAACAGGCCATAGGAACACCGAGGACTTCCAAACTGGTCAAAGGATATTCCCAAATCTGGTCCATTGTACGGCTCAGTCATTCCCGGAGTGGATCGGAGTTCAGCCCGGATGATCCTGTAGTTTTTGCCTTTGTTGCTGTCCCAGTAGGCCTGGCCATTACACTCGTAGCACACGGCAAACTCCATTCTTTCATAAGACTGGATTTTCTCAGGTAGGCTGATGTCGAAGGAGAAGGTGTCCCTGTCTGAACCAGCGTAAGTGTCCTTCACATACTGACAAGGGAAGTCTGTGAAGCTCTTCCAGGTGTCAAATGTCATTCTGATCTTCACAACCTTCTCGAATGCCAGGTTCTGGACCTTCACGGTGCCTGCGATGGCTTTGTCCTTGAGGACACAGTTTTCGAGGCAGACGTGGTTGGTCTGAAGTCGATTTCTGAAGTCTAAGTAATCGGCAGAAGGCTGTGGGAAATCCAAAACAAAGCTTTCGCTCTCTGCTGTCGTCAGACTCACGATGTTGTCTAGGAGCTCGGTGATGTTAAACGGAATATCTAACGGGTCATCAAATTCGGAGAACACTTTGACCATTGTCAGGGCCAGTCCCTGGTTGTCGGCGAAGGACACCCGCTTCTTCACCTTCTTCTCCTGCACGGTCGGGGCCACCATTCCGCTGCTGGCTTCATCCTTGCTGCCCAGCTGAATACAAGGTCTCAGTGGCTTGTTCAGCTTTGGGGAGATCTTGAAGGCAAAGCGCTCCCTGCGCAGAGAAGGGGCCAAGCTGCTGTATCTGTACTCTATGTCCACAGCCATCGCGGGGCTAGACGAGCTGGCTAGAAGTCTGGCAAAGGGGAGATGAGAGAAAACGGTAAAGAGGTCACAGGGATGTTTAAGCCCTCATTCCGGCAGAGACTGGCAAACAATGTTGCCTTTCATCTGGATTCACACTCCCATGTGGTCTCACAGGACACAGGTTGCAGGGAAGTTAGTGGGCTGGGGTGGGCAGGCGGATGCAAAGAGAAGCTAAGATTAAAACCAACAAAGGAAAGAGCACGGAACGCAATAGTTTCAAGACTAACTCGTGTGCCAGGATGTGTTGGGCCCTCCTGTGTGTTAATACACCAGAGATGAATGAGGAAAGCAGTAAGAATTATGGTTTCCTATTGTTTGCAGAATTACTCATTTATTTGACTAAAAGAGCCCCCCTCTTTTGTAGAGTATATGCCCCACAAATAGTTGATTTGATTATTCTACTTGGTAAGCTATGATTTGACAAATAAAATGTGTTTCTATTTCAAGGCTGATGAAGGCTCAGCCAGTAAAGGTGTTTTGTCACAGAGCCTCACAACTTCTCTTCAATCCCTTGGACCCACATAGGATGGAGGGAACCAGTCCCCACAGTTGTCCTTTGACTTTTACACACGCACCAGGCACACGTGTACCCATACCAAATAAATAAATGCAACAAAAATTATATGTACACATCGTGGAATGGCTGACACACTTAACGTGCATTTCCTCATATATTTGAGGGGTGAGGTGAGGATGTTTAAAATCTACTCTAAGCAATTTTCAAGTATACATTGTTATTAACTCTTGCAACCACCATCCTATTACACATTCAGTATCTTATCTTTTTTAGATGTGACATGGATATGTGCATTTGTCTTTCTGTGATTGACTTATTGCACTTAGCACAGTGTCCTCTGCGCTCATCTCTCTGTTTCTACAATGACACCATTTCATTCTTGTCTCTATGAACAGAACTCCACTGTGCATACACACCACATGGTCTTTGTTCATTCATCAACTGAGAGACACTTAGCTAGATCTCATGTCTTAATTATGAGTGGTGTTACATGAATATGGGAAACGAACTGATTTCCTATACTTTCCTATACTTTGAACGCATACCCTGTAACAGGATCACTGGATCACATATTTTATTTTTTTTTGAGAAGACACAACAGCATTTTGTAGCAGTTGCATTAATCTGCATTTCTACCACTTTCATCCTTTTGCAAAATAACCATTTTAACAGATATAAAGTATGGGTGCCTTGTGGTTTTAATAGTAAATAGTGACTTAATAATACAAAAGCATCAAAATTATAAGACAAATATTGACTTGGTGTTTACCACACATCAGGCATTATGCTATTATACACTGGGATTCAATGATGAGAATAGACACAAGCTTATTTTCACTGAACTTATGGGAGGTTGTTATGTCCTAGTATACCTTTCTTTAGAAAAAGAATGAGAAGTTTATTTCTTTTCTACTTTGACATACAAGTAGATATTTGCTTTGTATGCAGCTGACAACAGTTGTCATAAGGATTAGAAGCAGCTGGGAGGTGGTGGTGGTTAAGTTCCAGCACTTGTGAGGCAGAGGCAGGTGGATCTCTGAGTTTGAGCACAGCCTGGTTTATAGAGTTCCAGGATAGCCAGGGATACACAGAGGAACTCTATCTTAAAAAGAAGAAGGAGGAGGAGGAGGAGGAGGAAAAGGAGGAGGAAGAGGAGGAGGAGGAGGAAGAGGAGGAGGAGGAGGAGGAGGAGGAAAAGGAAAAGAAAAAGAGCAAATGTGATTGCGTTAAATATTAGCTTATTTAAACCCATGAAAGAAGCTGGGTGGAGGCACTCGCCTTTAATCCCAGCATTCGGGAGCAGAGGCAGGTGGATCTCTGTGAGTTTGATGTCAACCTGGTCTACAAAGAGAGTACCAGAACAGGCTCCAAAGCTATACAGACAAACCCTGACTCAAAAAATAAAACAAAAAACAAAAATAAAGAAAGATATGCAAAAGTGGCACACAAACACGCAAACTATCCAACCTTATAAGTAATTTAAGAAATTCAAACGGAAGTTGAATGTGATGGTGCACACTTGTAACCTTAGCTACTCAGAAGGCTGACTGAAGGAGACTGCAAGTTCAATGATTGCCTGAGTTGTATTATGAAATTCTGTCCATAATTAATTAGCTAAACAGCCCTGGCTATCCTGAACCTCAGGCTGTAGACCAGGTTGGCCTTGTACTCGCTGAGATCTGCCTCCCAAGTGCTGGGATTAAAGGCTTTTGCCACCACTGCCCTGCTATAAAAACATTTTAAAAGACATTTTTATTATCAAAATTGGTTTAATCTTTCTGTGTTCTTATCATTTTCATTCCAATATCACATAGGATATCATTTATCCTAAATAAGTAATTAAAATGTAACAAGAAGAGAAATGAGAAGAATGCCTATGATGGATGCCTCATAAAATCAATTGTACCATATCCATATTACATAATTAGATACAACTAATTTCATTATTTGAAAAAGTATTTAAGTAGCATGGAAAGTATTTTTATTTTGGATTTTGTATCTTTTTTTGAGACAGTGTCTCAGTGTCTCACTATATATATATATATTTATAACCCTAGTTGACCTGGAGATATGTAGACCAGGCTAGCCAGAGATGTGCCTACCTCTGCCTCCCGAGGACTGGGATTAAAGGCATGGGGCCACTTACTATGCCTAGCTAAAATTTTATCACGCATTGTTAATGTGAAGAGGAGACAAAACTGTACACAAATAGCAGATATGAGAGAAAATATTACATATACAGAAAAATGAGTAGAGATGTGGTATACTCCCATTGTTTTTGTTTTTCATGGCTCCAGCTCTTTACAGTCGATTGTGGTTCAAAAACATTAAAATGGAAATTCTGCAAGTAAGCAGTTCTTCATATTTCACTCCATTCATTCTGAGCTACATGAGGCCATCCCACCCCGGAGGAAACCTCCTTCTTCCTGGAAAGCCAATCATCCCTTAACCCATATATCCACGATATATATATGCTACCTGGCCATCAGGGACTTAGAGCCATCTCAGGTACCAGACAGTTGCATTGTTACAACGTTGTTGCTCAAGGTACCTTTATTTTACTTAATAACCACCCCAAAGTGCAAGAGCATCGATGTAAATGAGGTAATCCGGCATATAGCATGGAAAGACACATGGCCTGTGGAACTGTGGAGCTGGGCTGCAGGGAGTGTAGAACATGCAGAGAACACGGGGAACCTTGCCTGTAGATAGCAGGGACCATTTTATGGTTATATGCCAGATTCTACATGTGACGTATTTCCTTGAAGTTGTTTCCTGCTATGTGTTTCCTTATATCTTCTCAAACAACACTCTTCTATAAAAAAAAAAAAGAACCCTAGGAAAACATGCAAAAACCACCCTGACACTTCTGACACTTACCTACCTCACTAAAGCTGCACACCTTTTTTATAGTTATCCTTATGATGGCGGATTTATGACACTTAACAATGGTCTCACTGAAGAATCGAGTAATGAAACCTGGATTGCAATCTCAAACTCAAGATTTTAGGTTCCAAAAGCTGGACGTTAGTGGAGCATGCCTTTAATCCCAACACTCAGGAGGCAGAGGCAGGTGGATCTCTGTGAGTTTGAAGCCAGCCTGGCCTACAGAGCAAGTTCTTAGGACACCCTCCAAAACAATACAGAGAAATCCTGTCTCAAAAAAAAAAAAAAAAGACTACCGGTTCCAAACAGCTGCTTCCAGTTCCAACGTGACTGGATGAGGCAGGTAAAGTAGTTGTGGCAGGGAGGGCCTTGCTCACAGGCCACCATGGCTGCCTGAAAAATGACATCTTTTGACAAGTTGCTCATCCATTGGCAAGTGCTGAAGGACCATGCATTTGACTCAATAAACACTATTTCTGTCAACTTCTGAATCTGATTAGCTAAATGTATAATGGGGAAAAAATTGCCAGGCAGTGGTGGCCTATGCCTTTGGTACCAGCACTTAGGCAGAGGCAGGCAGATCTCTGAGTTGAGAGAGAGAGAGAGAGAGAGAGAGAGAGAGAGAGAGAGAGAGAGAGAGAGAGAGAGAGAACACAAAGACATATTAGGTTCCCTCTTTACTTTTTTTTTAGTTACATTGGTTTTGTGGGTGCATGAATCCTGGTTATCCTGTTTTTCCTCTGACTCTGGGCACTTTCCCAAGTGGCCATGGTTAAGGGCTTCTTGCACCCACAAAACCAATGTCTCACTACTTCCCGTGTAGTGAAGGAAGTAATCCAGTGAAAAGTTTCAGAGCAAATTTGCTGGGTCTGAGCTTATGTTCACGCACAAGACTGTTCCTAGAAAGCAAAATTCTGACTGAGCTGGCTTTACAATAAATGATCAGTGAGCTAACAGTTTTTTCAAAGCACTTATTACTTAACAAGTTATTGGAGCATAAGTTCCTCCTGGTCAGCTTCAAAATTTTGTTACAAATTTTCCTTCTATTTCAGCTTTAACATAGGTAATTTTGTACCATTTAAATATGCATTAAAAAAAAAAGAAAGCCCATGCTTGCTCCACATTCCAGTGCTACCCCACAGCCCACCCTTGAAAGGATGGGAGTGAATGGGGGAGAAGTTCCTCCTCTGCTAGGCACTTCCTCCTGCCCTGAGTCAGCACAGCGCCGAGGGTCCCTCTGCAGCTCCTCCAAGGTCTATGACCAGCCTCAGTGACGCTTTCCTGAAAGTTTTTGAAGCAGCTTGTTGAGAAATGGTGCAAAATTACCAAGCTACTATGGAAGCAGAATACCAAAGTACAGAGATAACCAAAGACTCCACTCTCTTGCATTCCAGGAAAGCACTCTCCTGGGTTCTAGTCCTGAGGGTTCAAGAGTCGGGCTGACACCATTGGTTAAGTTGTTCTGGTGGATGCCAGGATGTAAATGTGCTACGGGACTCCCATTAGTAACACACTGTAAGAACAAGAAGAACTGAGCTTGGAGAGATGTTTCTAATCAGAGTCAAGGCTAAGGAGAAGAATAAAGTGTGCTTTCTTTGCAAGTCTCTTCTCCTCTTCCATGAAAGGCAAATGTGAGGCTAGGATGGGCCAGGAGTTTCCACTGGGACTCCTACCCTGAGAAACTGCACACAAACAGCCCAGGCTTAGAAACTCTTCATTTTCCCTGGGTGCCGCCATCACTACAGCTTAAGGACATTTACCCTTGTGGCCTCTATCAAGGGTATGATGTGACAGCCATCCTCACAGAACATTCCAGCTTTTACTAACCTGACTCTCATCCAAGAATCGGTGTACCAAAGTGCTTGTTCGAGTTTAGCTTTCCTGATGTCTGTGACAGTGATAAGGGACACTTAGAAGTACTCCCAGCAACTGAGACAGTCAGGCAATAGTTAAGTCCCCTAAGGGAAGCACCTGGACAGGTGATCCAGGGAACACAGACACACCCACACGTGCTTGGATGTACCTCAGCCGTCTACCCCCATCCCCAGACCCTGGCTGGGGAACAAGCAGAAACAGAAAAACATGGAGACACTTTTGGGACAGTAGAGTGTAACATGGGATCTGGGACACTAGTTGCAGGACAGGATCCTGGGAGTGTGAACTGTTTCCCAAGGACAGTCACACACTTTGCTTTCATGTGGGTGCCTCAGAGGTTAACTGCCTCTGATGAGGGACAGGACCATGCTTGGGACCCTTTCGTCCCTTCCCCTCTTATGAAATAATGTGGTCACTCGAGATACTGGGCAGTCTTAGGAGTCCAGTGATACTTCTTTTATTGACTTTGACAAGCCTGAACAGTGAATAACCCCGTGACCTTCACATTGTCAGGCTGTCCAGCCACTGTGCTCTGGTGGTGCTGTTCTTTCGGTAACTCTTCCTCTCTGACACGAAGAGCAGATTAACAATAACCCACCAGCACCACTGCACTAGATAAATATCCACAGCCAGGTTAGACGTGGACGCTTCCATCCACTCCCTCCCCCTCCAGCAAGTCTCTGTTCGCTCCCCAAACGTACAGCTGCTTCTTTTACATGTAAAAAGTTGGCATCATCTCCCTTTTGTACACAGACCCTAATCATTACAGTCTTAATGCCTACCCTGCAGTCCTTGGAGATGAATGTTTGTGAATACAGCTGTGTAATGAGGCATCTAATAACTTTGAGACAGTCTTCACCTTCTAATAATGTCCAAAGGCACCGCGGAGCACTGGCCTAAGAAAGCCCCTACCTAGCTGAACTATAATAAATGATCTCTCTGGCCTGGAGGGTCCCTTTTGAGGTGCCTTCCTGCTCTGACCTCCTGGGTTGCTAACAGGGCTCTGATGGCTCTGGTTCCACTACCCCCCCACCAACGGGCTCCAGTATACTTCTGTGGTCCTTCAGTTGTCTCCACTTTCATTCTGACTCCTGAACATCTTTGCCAAAGGAACCATCCTTTCCTGCCTGGCTGAAGATGCCCTCCCCGCTTTTTTTCCCTCTTGGACCCTCGTGCTGTGACAAGGCCAAGTTCTAGCAACTCTACTAGTTCCCTCAAGTCTGTTTTAGCTTTCTGTTCTCTATTTCGCTCTGGGCCTGCCATCCACTGTTCTGAAACTATGGTTCAGTTCACAGCTTTTTCCCAGTGTTCAAAAAGGTGTCTGTAAACAGATCCCTGGGGGCAGGTCAGCGAGTCCCCATCCCACTCTGCGATGTTGACGTGCCTGCACCCCGCCCCCAATCTCCCGGCTTTGCCTGGGTCTGCACTTACCTCTCCCGCGGCGCCGCAGCCCCGGGCCCCCGCTCGCTGGCCTCATGGGAGAGCCTGAGAGGTGGCGGGAGTGACTGCTGTCCCCTGAACTACGTGAGCGTCGGAGTGTCCCGGAGGTCGGGCTTAGTTCCCGGAGCCGAGCAAGGAGGAGGAGCCCAAGTTATCACCCCAGGGCGGGACTTGACGACGGGACAGCCCAGGCCGGAGCAGCGCCTCTCGAGCACCCCCGCGCGTTCCCGGGTGGAGCTCACCCCAAGCCTGTCGCCTTCGCACCCGACTACCCACGGTGTGCCCTTGCTTGTGTGAAGCAAAGGGTGATTTGAACCAAAGCAGGGACAAGTCCACACAACTTGGTCACAGTTTTCTTACACCTATCTCGTAACGGGAAACTGAGGCCCAGGCGACTTGTATTTGGACTCCAGATTGTGCCGCAAAAACCTGGAATTATCCTCCAGAAATGTCAAATCTCGGGTTGGGGACGTACCATGTTAGGACTTGCCACATCTTTTGTTTAGGACAATCCCCCTGACCACGTTTCGCGGGGCTAATCCCCGCGGGAGTCGCGGGCTCTCCTCTAAGCTCTATCCCAGCTCGGGTCCCTGAGATGTTTCACCACATGGAAGCGGCAAGCTATCCGAATCCAGCTAGGGTGTTCTACCACCTGCGTGTCACTGAAAGTGGGACGACAAACGTCAGGGATTAGAGGGGGAGGCTCCCCCGCGCGCCCCTCACCGCAGATTTCATGGCCCCGCACCTTGAGCTCCAGGCTTCGGGAGGTACGTACCGGGTACAGACCCTCCAGCCCACCCCACCATCTGCGCGGCATGACAGTGACAGGGACTACGACGGCAAAAGTGGGGCAGGGACTCGGCACGGTCCATGCGACGACGGCCCTCTCACCTGCTCCCTGGATGGCAGCACTCTGGACTGGAGCTCCCGCAGGCGGTGGCACACTTTAACTTTCCAGCCACCTCTCCCCAGTCAGGGTGCCATCCCAGACCTTCCCCCCCCTCGACACATGAACACCGGACGCAGCCAATGAGCACTCCCGGGACGCGAGAGGCGGACCAATAGCCACACTTGGGGCACTCCGCCACGTGATCTGCAGCCGTGCGGTGAGTGACTTGGCTGCGGCCCAGGATCTGGGAAGGGGACGGCGGGTCACAATTTCATCAGGAGCCGGGGGGGGAACCCAAGCCAAGGGGCAGAAGCGATTTCCTGCGGTGTAACGCTCGGCTGTAGAGACCGACTGAGGAGCGCGGGCTGCGAGTAAAGTTTCCCCTTGCTAGCAAAGTTCTAACCAGATCTTAGCGTCCCAGGTGTAGAAGGCATTGTTGTCTTTCATTGGCCCCGCCTTCGCCTTTGTAGGACAATAGCACCAGGGTTCACAGATGGCTATGACCTTCCCAGAGTGCCTGGAGACAAGTGTTCTCCACTCCCTGTGCTCCCACATCTGACTTTATCGGCGTGTTCTTCAGTAGTGTCCCAAGCACTCACTCACTCTTGCTTTGTGGCCATTGCTCCAGCCTCAAGTTTCCCGTAGCTACAGTGCCGGTCAGATACCCGCATACTCACAGTACTGCAGACCCGGCTGGGAATTAGTAAGGTGGGCGTATTTAGAAGACTGCCTGGCTTCTCAGTACACTCAGAAACTCTGAGTATTTATAGGCTCTGTATAGTTTCACATGCCCTTGGGGCTCTGTGACTTTGGGGTGGTGACTTCAGGGAGGCTCATAGTTTTATACCTTTAATGACTAGTAAAATTTGGGAAGTTGCTGATTGATGCAGGATTGCCAACTTTAAAAAGTGCTAAATCGACATATTAAAGCATCCTATCTTTAAAGAAAGAAATGAAAGAGCAGTTTATTATTTAGTTCAGGCTGGTCTCCAACCTGTAGTCCAGGTTAGCCACAAACGCATGGTCTTCTGGGATTATAGGCATGTGGCCCCACTACTGACTTGTTTGGTTTGGTTTGGTTTTTTGAGAGCAAGTTTTCCAGTGTACCCATGGATGTCTAGAACTCACCCTGTACATCAGACTGGCTTTGAACTCAGTGAATGAACAAAGGAAATACAAAGGAAGCCGATGACTGTCCCTAGGTATAGTAGAGGATTTGTAATTTTGAGGGACAGCATAGCCAGAGGCAGGGGCATCTGGGAGAGTCCAGAGCGGACATGATCATGTGAAAAGAGTAGAGGAGTCGCCTACCAAGTGACCAGGAGGGTAAAGGATAACCAAATGTCTGGATTTTACAGGAAAGGGGAGCCTAGCCCCTGGGCTGGAGAAGTTTAGGGTAGGGAGCAGGTTATGCCAGCCATATGCTTAACAGGTAGTGACTGAGGGATGCTGGGAGAACCTGATAGCCAGGTCTGGTTTGGTATGTTAAATAGGTACTTTACGTGGGCATTTGCCCAGGGTTTGAGACTTAACACTCAGAGATCTGCCTGTCTCTACCTCTTGAGTCCTGGAGTTAAAGACCTGTGCCACCACATCCAACTTCCAGGGCCGTTTTTAAAGTGCTCTAACTGCGAGAACAACAGGATACAAGATCATTGTGTCCATTAGCTCACATTGGACGAATTTAGACTTTGGGAAATTCACTGTTTAATACAATGTAGGGGTTCTACTGTAAGGATATAGGAGCAGCTTTCAATATAAGTAGGTATGCAAGACCACAACACTCATGGGCTACAAAAATCTGCTACAAGCCTAGGCTGTAATGGGTACCCTCCCCAGCCCAAGTCTCAGGGTCCACTTCCTTCTTTTCTGATGGGCAAATGTGATAAAGGACCACCTGTGAATCTGCTACTGCCAACTCTAAATCCCCTTTCATTAGCTGGAAGTTGAAGGTGAGTTAAGTCCAGCGCTGGCTACAGTTCCAAATGTAGGGAGCGTGCTAGTGGAGTGAACAGAGCCAATAAATATTGCAAAATATGTGCAGGCAAAGGGTGATTGGACCCTAGCTGGGAAGGTTGGGACAAGCAAATATAATTTTATAGCGTGAGGGTTTGGAAGCATCTTTCTCACACATATCTAGGAAACCATGGGTAATAATTTCCTCTGTGGTTCAGATGACTATTTAAAAATCGGGAGAGTGGGCTAAACTTAGTTGTGGGACACCACAGTCTTGGTGGGTAAGAGTGTGGCGTCATTGGGTTTGAAAAGAGCAGTATTTTCTACAACTAGACTAGAGCTAACTGGGATGCAGTATCTAGAGGACCTTGGCTCAGATAGCAGGCCAGAACCCGAGCTGGCCTGATCTTTAGACAGGATCGTGCTCTTTCTTTCACTGTATGGCAATGGAGAGAGAAAAGGAACATGGAAAATTTCAACCCCTTAGTCAAAGCACACCAAGTTCCTTCTTATAAAATCTGGCATTGAATTGGACTTAATTTCACTTATTAAAAACCACCCCCTCCCAGAAAAATAAACCAAAAGACTTAGCAGTGGCCAAGCATAGAAATGACTCTTCTTCTACAGCCTTGTTCCCAAGGCTGTCAGTAGTAACACTGTCTTCTTCTTCAGTGCCCTGGGCATCTGGCTGCTTCAGTCCTTATTCACTCATTCAACAAAATATTGAGTAGCTGCCATGCAAACATTCTCAATAAAATACTTGCAAACTGAATCCAAGCACATGTCAAATAGATCATTCAACATGATCAAACTCACTTCATTCAAAGATTCAGGGATGATTAAACATTTGCAAATCAATAAATGCAATAAATCTCATGATCATCTCAAAGGACAAAGAAAAAGCTTTTAACCAAGTAAAAACTTACCTGATGGATGCTAAAAGTCTTGCAGAAACTAGAAATAGAAGGAATATGATAAAGGCTATGGAGGACAGATCTATAGGCAAACCAATGGAGAAAAACTCAAATCATTTTCACGGAAATCAGAAATAGGACAGGTTTGTCCACTTTCTCTATTCCTATCCAGTCTAGTACATATGATCCCAGCCAAGTAGTAAGACAAGAAAAGGAAACAATGATACACACAAGAGAGGAAACAGTCTAACTGTCTCCATACTAGACCAGTAAGGCTCCACCTGAAAACTCCTACAAAGATAAACATACTTAGAAAAGCAGCAGGATACAAAATTAAAACGAAAGAAGGCTAGCAATCTTCTTCTATACCAATAACCAACACACTGAAAAACAAATCAGGCAAATAACCCCATTCACAGTTACACAAGCAGAAAAGAAATTAAAAAAATGTCTTGTAAGAAACCTAACTAAGGAAGTGAAATACTTTATAATAAGCACCTTAAATTGCTGAAGAAAAAAATGAAGAAAATACAAGAAGATAAAAACCTCTCTCATACACATGGATGAGAAAAATAAATACGAAAGTGCTATCCAACCAACAGCTATCTATATATTCAGTGCAATTCCCATCAAAAATTTCAATGTCATTCTTTACAGAAACTGAAACAAATTCCTAAAATTCATTCGTAAGCACAGATCCCAGATAGTGAAAGCAAGCAGAGGGGAAAGACAAATGCTTTTCTTTCTCTCATTTGTAGTTCTTAGATTTTTTCTTATAGGGCCATAAATCAAGTATCTATACTTGACGTGAAAGTTAAATTGAAACTGTGGGAAAAATTGGACTACAAGAAATGGGAAAGAGAGGAAGGAGTGAGGGGTAAGAGGAAGATTGTGCAAACAGCACTCTGCACAGCAAATAAATGCCAATTACAAATTTTTAATGGGAAATGGGAGAAAAGGAATTTTATTCTCAAGAAGGGCATAAGCTATAAATAACGATGACCAGTAAATGTATGTAAGGTAAGTCTCCATGTTTGGGATGTTGTTTTCCTTTTCCTGGGGAGATAGGAGCAAATGGAGATTCACTCCAAATAGGGCACCAGTGACAGACAAAAGAAATAATTCTGTCTTAGTTCAGCTTGATGGGCCATCGAGTTTGAGGCTTGCTCTCGGGAACGTGGATGATGAGAAGAGCTGCATCCCATCCAGTACAGGTCACGACCTCCTGAGACGTGAATAGATGGAATCCCACCTTTGGTTAGCCTTCCACTTCTTGTATTCTATATAACATTCCCTCAAGACCATATGCAGCTGGGAGGGGGAGGAGGGAGGAACATCAGGAGAGAGCAATGGCTAGACCCTCCTCGACTCCCAGCCACCTTCTACT